AGCATGGGGAGAAATGCCAGATGTAGGTGAAGGGGAGGAAGGCAGCAAATCACACTGACACTGCCATGTGTGTACCTATGCAACAATCTTGCATGTTCTTCACATGTACCCCAAAACCTAAAATGCAATTAAAAAAAAAAGAGTTCTCAGGGGCCGGGCACGGTGGCTCACGCCTATATTCCTAGCACTTTGGGAGGCCAAGGTGGGTGGATCACCTGAGTTCAAGACCAGCCTGGCCATCATGGTGAAACCCCATCTTTATTTAAAAAAAAAAAAAAAAAAAGAGTTCTCAGGATACTTCCCAGCTCCCCCAACTTACCCTGGGAGATTTTTTTCAAGAGTGAGTTATTGGGCTACTTTGGGTTCCCCTTTAACTCACTTGGGGGATTCTTTCAAAAGTTTCTGGGCTCCTTCCGAGCTCCCCCAACTTACCCTGGGAGATTTTTCTCAAGAGTACTTGGGATACCTTCAGATCAGCTTCTCCTTTCTGTCACTCAGGTGACCCTTCGTACTGGGTTTAGAGCCCCTTGTCTGGGCACTACTTACCGAGACTAGCTCAGCCGTAGAGACTCCTACCCAGGCGGAGCTGAAGGAATTGAGAAGCAGACACCCAGATAGAACAATAAAGTGGGACCATCCCGGGAGCCAACTGCCTTCCGAGCTGAGAGACTCAGGGGCCCACAGAATTCTGGACTGAAGGCCCTGAGCAGACTCTGAACAGGTGATGATTATTAACAGATGTTTGGTATTTTCTCATTTACAAAAATAAACCAGGTAGGCAGCTGATGCCCGCTTACCACTGATCACAGAAAAACTAAAAAGTACTCTCCACGAGGGAGCCACAGGGGCAGGGTCACGTATCCCATGCCTAAAGAATTGTTTTAACTGGTATATGATATTTATATATTGCCCTGCCACTTAAGAATGCCCCAAATAGTTTTCCACTGGGTGGGTGGGGGGGGATGGGGTTGGCTAGGTTTTCCTTGCCATTGTTCTTCCTAGCAAACACTCAGCATTTCTCAGCAATTGTTCACTTAGCATTTCTCAACAGTGAAACCCTGTCTCTACTAAAAAAAGTAATAACAATACAAAATTAGCCAGGTGTGGTGGTGCAGTCCTGTAATCCCAGCTACTCAAGAGGCTGAGGCACAAGAATCACTTGAACTCAGGAGGCAGAGGTTACAGTGACCCAAGATCACACCATTGCACTCCAGACTAGGCGACAGAGTGAAACTCCATCTCAAAAAAAAAAAAAAAAAGTAATAATATGACTCACTCAAGCAATAAATGACATGATGACAAACAGCATATCTTGTATGCCCTGACTTTATTTGCTCTATCTATCCAATCTTTGCATCTCACTCTATCACCATTACAAATTTTTTTTTGAGACAGGGTCTTGCTCTATTTCCCAGGTTGGAATGCAGTGGTGTGATCTGGGCTTACTGCAGCCTCAACCATCCAGGCTCAAGCCATCCTCCCACCTCAGACTCCAAGTAGGTAGGACTACAGGCACATGCCACCACATGCAGCTAATTTTTTTTTCTTTTCTTTTCTTTTTTTTTTTTTTGTAGGCAGGGTCTTGCCATGTTGCCCAAGCTAGTCTCGAACTCCTGGACTCAAATGATCCTCCCATCTGAGCCTCCCAAAATGTTGGGATTATAGGGATGAGCCACTATGCTGGATACCATTACAACTTTAAACATAAAAAATACATAGAATATTGAAGGAGGAATAGCATTTTCATTTTACTAATTGATTTATTTTCAACAAACATGCATGTTTATGCAACAAACATTTATTAAGTGTCTACCATGTGCCAGGAAGTGACCTAGATATTGGGACTATAGTGAAAAATAAGAGACATGTATCTATTCTTATAAATTTGAATTTTAATGGCAGCTGACAGAAAATAAACAGATTAAATAATAAAATCTTCAAGGGGCCTTGTAGACTTTGATAAAGAGTCTAAATTTCAGTCTAAGTGAATTGGAACACATTGGAAATATATCAATTAGAATGAGTTTGGCTTCATACAACAAGAACCTAACTAGACTGGCTTAAATTAATTATTAAATGTATTATATGTGTTTATTTCTCATGTAAAAGGCTTGTCTCATCACTGGGACTAGAATGGAGGCTTCATGAACATCAGGGACCTTAGTCCAAAACAGCTGCTGAGGCTCCAGCCACCACATTTAATGCCAGAAGGAGAAAGAAGTCGAAACACGAAAGGATGTCCCCTCCCTTTTAAAGGGTTTTCTAAAAGTCCTACCCAGTATTTCCTCTTACATCCCATTGATCAGAACCTACTCACATGACTATATCCAGTTGCAAGGGAGGCTGAAAACTGTAGCTGTCCTGAATGACATTGAATTCTATTACTAATGAGAAAAGGGACAACGGAGATTGAGATGGGAGACAAGCAGTTTCTGCCACAGAGATCTGAATCATATTTTTTAAATGGCACTGCCTTCTGTAAGAAAGAGATTGAAAAGGATAGGAATGGAAGGGAGATCAGTTTTTTGCAGTTGTCCAGGTAAAATTTTGGTAATGGACTTTGGTGGTGCTGTAGTGAAGATAGACAGAAGAAGATGATTCAGATATGTTTTTGGGTATGGTCAATGGGACTTTCTGATGGGCTGAATAGGGAAGGGGGTAAGAGAGTGAAAATAATCAAGGATCTTGCCCAGGTTTTTGCCTTGAGAAAATGAATATATGGCAGTGATGCTTACTAAGATAGTAAAAGTTGTAAGTGGGTATAAGTTTCTGAAGGAGAGATTCAAGAGTTTCTATTTGAATTGTGTTAATTTTGAAATGCCTATTCCACATTCAAGTGGCAGCTGCCACTTGAACTACAGCCTACTTCAACTAGACTACTTGAACTAGTCTACTTCAACTACAGACCCATATATTCAAATACTACATTCAAGGTGGTATTTGAATATATGGGTCTGTAGTTGAAGATGTCAAGGCTTAGATATACAAAATGGAAAACCATTAGCATATTAATGTAATTAAAAGTCATGGACAGATGAAACTGCCTAGGGAGAAATTGTGAATGGAGAATGAAGCCCAGGACCAAACTGAAGTTTACTAATATTTAAAATGTTGGTAGAAGAACAGAAGCCAATTAAGTGGGCAACCAATTCCCTTAAAACATACAAGAGAATGTGTGCTAAAAGAAACAGTGAAAGGAGAGAGTGGTCACTTGTATTAAATGCTGCTGAGAGGTAATCAAGTGCAGACAAAGATGTAGCCTTTGGATTTGGCAACATCATGACCACAAGTAACTTTAACAAGAGCAGTTTTAGAGGAGTAAAGGGACAGAGTCATAATTCAGTATATCCAGCTGTTAGTCACTAAGGAATCAATAAATAGTAATCTAGAAGAGGTGGCCAAATTGATTTCTATGCAGTGCAATAAGGACTATGATATGGGTCTGCACAGGGTTGATGGGCCCACAGAAGTTGGGGTACTTATCTATGGGTACAAGGACACAGAGAGCTTTCAGAAGAAGGTGATAACATCTTAGATGTTCAAACTCCATCTATAAGATGTAAGGAGTAATGCATTAGCCTAAGAGCCAGAAGACCTAGGTTCTAGTACTACCTCCACCACTAACAGATGTATGACCTGAGACGAGTTCCTTCCCCTCTCTGGGATTCTTTCTTCTGCTTGAAAGGAGAAATGGCTGGATTAGATGAGCCTTATTTGTTTTCTGTTTTAAGATCATTACGGAATTTTCTAACCTATTGAAGTCTGCTTAGACCAAGGTTTTTTGTTTGTTTGTTTGTTTGTTTGTTTTTGAGATGTAGTTTCACCCTTGTTGCCCAGGCTGGAATGCAATGGTGTGATCTCTCAGCTCACCACAACCTCCACCTCCCAGATCCAAGCAATTCTCCTGCATCAGTCTCCTGAATAGCTGGGATTACAGACATGTGCCACCATGCCTGGCTAATTTTGTATTTTTAGTAGAGATGGGGTTTCTCCATGTTGATCAGGCTGGTCTCAAACTCTCGACCTCAGGTGATCCCGCCACCTCAGCCTCCCAAAGTGCTGGGATTACAGACATGAGCCACTGGGTCTGGCCACACTGAGGTTTTTCATTTAAGATTCTCTGCCCTTCAGTTAACTTTTTGGGTTTTTTTTTTTTTTGTTTTGTTTTTGAGATGGAGTTTCGCTCTCGTTACCCAGGCTGGAGTGCAATGGCGCAATCTTGGCTCACCGCAGCCTCCGCCTCCTGGGTTCAGGCAATTCTCCTGCCTCAGCCTCCTGAGTAGCTGGGACTACAGGCACGCGCCACCATGCCCAGCTAATTTTTTGTATTTTTAGTAGAGATGGGGTTTCAGCATGTTGACCAGGATGGTCTCGATCTCTTGACCTCGTGATCCACCCGCCTCGGCCTCCCAAAGTGCTGGGATTACAGGCTTGAGCCACTGCGCCCGGCCAACTTTTTGGGGTATTTCTTTTAAGTATCTATATTTCTCCACTGGAAATTGATGTCACTTTCTTCAGGTTTAATTCATAGTTTTTGTTCCAGAATAAATTAATTAGGATAATGTTATTAGTTATCACAAACCCCAACATTTCTGTGGCTTAACACAAGAGTCATAATTTATTTCTACCTCATGAAATAATCCAATGCAAGGTTTGACCAATGGCTTTGCATGCAGTTAGCAAGGGCCACAGGCTCCTCCCAAATTGTGGGTTTGCTATCCTTCTACTTCTTACAATTATTTGCTTTCTTATGGAAAGAGAAGGCAGAGAAGACTCATAACCATCTCAGCCTAGAGGTGACATATATTACTTCTGATCTAATTTTACTGTGAAAACTCATTGTGTGGCTTCACCTAAGATGCAATAGGGACTGGGCAATGTGGTTTCTGGCTGGGCAGCAATAATTCCATAAAGGGAACAAGAGTCTTGGGTAGAGAGCAGATATCTCCACTACAGAGAACATTTCAATGACCCATACAACTCATTTGTTTATTTTCTAGCTGAAGAAGAACTTACCTTTTCCGAATCAAAGATTCTTAAGAAATCTGCATTATTTCCTGCAAATCCCAGGTAGAAGCATATATCATTGTTTAGGAAGTAGAGCATAAGCAATTGTCATTAAATTCAACCTATTAGAATCATTTTGTCTGGCCAGTACTTTTGATCTCTTAGATACAAGTGGGAGACTTCAGGGAGTATGCCTGGTGAGTTTGGTCAGTAGTATCCACACTAGGTTTTATTATCCTGCTCTTTTATTAGTTTTTAAAGATATTTTAATATCAAAAGCAATACTCTTTAAGTTACTACTCTTATTTATTTCTGCATATGGACAGTCCTAAAGAAATAAGAAAAATTATCTTGAATTTCTTTGACAACATTATAACAAGAATGAAGACATCTGATGAAGACATTATCCCTCTGGAATCTTGCCAGTGTGAAGAAATCCTAGAGATTGTCATTTTGCCTCTGGCCCACCATTTTCTGGCTTTGGAAGAAAATAACAAAGCCTTATATTACTTCTTAGAAACTGTATCTGCTTATCTCATCTTGCATGATAACTACATGGTAAGCTGTTTCTACCCAGACCTCCTCCACCCTAGAGACAAATCATAGAAGACAGAGCCCAAAGGGAAGCTCTGGTTTTTGATTTCTTTACATTCTATATTTCCGACAGCACCCCTTTCTGCTGAAAATCACATTGTTCAGATGGGAAATGATCTAAGATTGAGAAAAGAGAGTTGGAATACATTTCAACTAGCATTGTAAATTATTAAAAATATTGCCAGCTTTAAAACTTGCCATGAATTGTCTACTTGTATGGGAGGTATGGGGGCACATCCCATTTCTAAATGATGCAGAGAGGACTCTTAGCATAGTCTTCCTCAATAACAGCCAAGTGGCATTAACCCTCAAATAATTTCGAGCACGAAATACCTGTAAATCTTTGATGAGTGCAATTGTGGTTTTTTTGTTTTTGAGACAAAGTTACACTTTGTCACTCAGGCTGGAGTATAGTGGTGCAATCTCTGCTCACTGCAACGTCTGCCTCCCACGATCAAGCCATCCTCCCATCTCAGCGTCCTGAGTAGCTGGGACCACAGACTTATGCCACCATGCCTGGCTAATTTATTGTATTCTCGGTAGAGATGGGGTTTCACTATGTTGCCCAGGCTGATCTTGAACTCCTGAACTCAAGGGATCTGCCCATCTTGGCCTTCCAAAGTGCTAGAATTACAAGTGTGAGTCACTGTGCCCAGCCAATTCTGGTTTTAATCTTGTGATCCCCAAAAAGTGTCTCCCCATCTTTATCATCATGCAATGTGTGCTAGTTTATCACACATACCATTAGATCACCAAAGCACTAGTGAATGTTTCTCTAGGGTAATTACAAATAAGGTTCCAGGGCAATATGCCCCTAGAAATGAGGGGATTTGATACATATAATGAAATAAACAGAATTCATTAAATAAGTTGGAAATCACTGAGCTGAATACAGTTAAATAAATTTCTTCAGATATTTCAGGGCCTTTGATATGCTGAGATACAGAAAAATCTTTTCAGAGGACAGAGAAAGGTAAAGGCCAGGCTAGGCTGAAGTATGTTTCTCAAAATTTGCCCTTAGATCACTTTTCACAGAGCAGCTGGCTAGGCTAACCTTCCATGCGAACTCGCTTGAGGAAATGTCTTTCTGGGACCTTGCTTTATCTGACTTCAGCCAACTTCAGGAAGAGTTTCATAGACCTTCCATAATTTACAGTTGCTACTGGTCACAGCAGCCTAATCAACCCTCCTACCTTAGATTTACATAAAATTCTACAATTAAACTATTAAAAATGTTACTAAGTTCCTGTCCTTGAAAGCATTTATGTTAAGAATGAAAGTCTCCTGCATATTTCATGCACTTGTTTGGGGTAATGATGGGGATGTAGCCAAGGAGCCCCAGGAGAAGGAGGCTTAGGTAGGCCTGAGGACCAACTTTCTAGAACCTATGCATACCCTTTTTCATTTGACAAGGAGTGCTGAGTGATCAGAAAGGCAGTGATTAGAAGTAGAGCCCCAGTGCAAGGTCCCAGAATGTGCCATTTGTACCCTCTCTCCCATCAAAGAAACTCTGGTGGGACTGGGGCTGGTGGCCAACTCACCATGTCTCCCCCTTTTTTTGCCTCCCACACATACCCAACAGGATACATGAGACTGAGAGGTATTGCCTCACCTTATTTTATTCTTGAAGTCTTGTCTTACCTTGGTGTTCACATGTGCTAAGATTTGCCTGAGGATGTTAGAAGGTGAAGATGAATGAGGAGAGTTGTGCAGGGACTTACCCTCCTCATCCACCTCCCAAAATGGCCCTAGTAAAGGAAACGGGGGTGATTCGTAATTCTTTTCAAAACTGAAGACCAGCTTCTCGTAGATGTGGAAATGCTGGTCAGGGGAAGTGGGTGTGTTGCTGGAAAGAGGGAGGTTGGGGATGGAATTACTGAGAGGAGGAAACTGGCTTGAGGGAAACTTCCGGTAAGGCAACTTAGATGATAGCATGAGGAAAGTGGAGATTTCCAGATTCATCCTCTGGATCGAGTGATCCAGCAGACAAAGGTAAGCATGAAGGTGAGATCTTTACCTATCAGCTCCCATCTGGAATTTGGAAGCCCATTTTAATCAGTGGAGCTGGGGATGGAAGTGGAGGCAGTAACTGACATGCTTCTTGCATCCCTTCCCTCAGTAGAGTCTGGGGCTATGGCCCTTCTGTGGGCTCAATCTCTGATGAATCAACACTTTTCTACTTCTTGGGCTCATTGCAGGCATACAGGTATTTGAATGAAGGAGAGAAGTTGCTAAAAACTCTTAAGAAGGACAAATCTTGGAGCCAGACATTTGAGTTTGCCACCTTTTACAGCCTCAAAGGTGAGGTAAGAAACCATTAAAGGCTTGAATTAATCTGTTATTTATCTTAGGCCTTTCCATAGAAGTAGAAGTCATCCCTATACTTTCTACATCCTCCTCCCATCTCTTAGCACAGACTTCTAGCCAAGACTCTAGAAACTCAAATCTCTGGGCTCCAGCCTCCTCACGATGGCTTACTAGCAAGATCTTCCCTGTCCTCCAGGCTGGCATTTTTTTTTTTTTTTTTTTGAGACGGAGTTTCACTCTTGCTACCCAGGCTGGAGTGCAATGGCACGATCTCGGCTCACCGCAACCTCCGCCTCCTGGGTTCAGGCAATTCTCCTGCCTCAGCCTCCTGAGTAGCTGGAATTACAGGCACGTGCCACCATGCCCAGCTAATTTTTTTGTATTTTTAGTAGAGACGGGGTTTCACCATGTTGACCAGGATGGTCTCGATCTCTCGACCTCGTGATCCACCCGCCTCGGCCTCCCAAAGTGCTGGGATTACAGGCTTGAGCCACCGCGCCCGGCCTTTTTTTTTTTTTTTTATGAGATGGAGTCTCTGTTGCCAGGCTGGAGTGCAGTGGCACAATCTCAGCTCATTGAAATCTCTGCCTCCCAGGTTCAAGCAATTCTCTTGCCTCAGCCTCCTGCGTAGCTGAGACTACAGGCGCCCACCACCATGCCCAGCTAATTTTTGTATTTTTTAGTAGAGACGGGGTTTCGCCATGTTGGCCAGGATAGTCTTGATCTCTTAGCCTCAAGTGGTCTGCCCTCCTCGGCCTCCCAAAGTGCTGGGATTACAGCTGAGCCAGCGCGCCCAGCAACATCTTTTTTTTCTTCTTCTTTTTCAGAGGTAGTCTCACTCTGTCAGCCAGGCTGGAATGCAGTGGCACGATCTTGGTTCGCTATAATCTCCACCTCCCGGGTTCAAGTGATTCTCCTGCCTCAGCCTCCTGAGTAGCTGGGATTACAGGCACCCACCACCACTCCCAGCTAATTTTTGTATTTTAGTGAAGTAGGGTTTCATCACGTTGGCCAGACTGGTCTCAAACTCCTGACCTCAAGTGATCTACCTGCCTTGACCTCCCAAAGTGCTGGGATTACAGGCGTGAGCCACTGCCCTGGCTCAGGTTGACATCTTTATGAAATATTTTTTAACAACCTCTAAAAATGGACCTGAATGGGTAAACATTGTCTCAGAGGTGGATGATGCATAACTAAGATGCAAAATCCTAGTCATTCAACCATCCTTCATGCATACATCCAACAGACATTATGCCAGGCACAGGAAGATTTTGTTTCTGGTCCATAAATTATGTTTTTTGATAAGAATCCCAAAATATGTATTGTTGGGATTTACTAAGTCTAGAATCATTGCTTTTCCTCTTTTCCTCTCTTCCCTCCCATCTCCCTCTAGGTCTGTTTCAATATGGGCCTGATAGTGCCTGCCAAGAAAATGCTGAGGAAGGCGCTGAAGCTCCTCAACCGAATCTTTCCTTACAACTTAATCTCCTTGTTTCTCCATATTCACGTTGAGAAAAACAGACACTTTCATTATGTGAATCAGCAGGCCAAAGAGAGTTCACCTCCAGGGTAAGAGAAGGAGCTGGGGAGAGCAGAGTGTTTAATCTCACTCCCCAGAGAGACCTACATATAATCCAAGTCAGCCCCCAAAGCCTGGCCTCCAGGGGGCACAAGGACTCCTGTGTGGCTCTGACCATTCACTGGGGGAGGGATAGAGTGTGGGAGGGGAGGTGCTCCCACACCAGGGTTACCACAAAGCACTTTACGGGCAGTTTTTGCCAAAGGGAATTTGGATGACACAAACACAAGGGACCCCTTTGTAAGGTGAGTTCTAGGTTCCTCCCTACTCATCTAGCCCATTAACCCCCATGGCCATCCATGTTCTGATTGGATGGAACACAGATCGGAACATGGATCAGAAGACGGATGCAGGTATTCCTGGGACTTCAGTCACAAGCCCTCTTCCATTAGGAACTAAGACACTGGGTTTTGCCCCACCCCAAAGACAAATAGCAAGCCTTGAAGACATTTGCCAAAGGACAAAACTCCCACCCATCTATGAATCTCAATCAGGATGTGGGTTACCCAGGGGTACCTGTTGGTTAAAATTGTAATGTTAAGATCTGTGCATTTCAATATATATAAATTCTACCTATAAGATAACTATAATAATGAGTGGGGACAAATAGTGAGTGGAGAGGTAGATGGCTATGCGTTCCAGGCCCGCCTGAGCAACAAAGACACCTCTCATCATTGAAAAAAAAAAAAAAAAGCCAGGCTCGGTGGCTCACACCTGTAATTCCAGCACTTTGGGAGGCTGAGGCAGAGCATTATCTTGAGGTAGAGAGTTTGAGACCAGCCTGACTAACATGGAGAAGCCCCATCTCTATTAAAAATACAAAATTAAGGCCGGGCGCGGTGGCTCAAGCCTGTAATCCCAGCACTTTGGGAGGCCGAGGCGGGTGGATCACGAGGTCGAGAGATCGAGACCATCCTGGTCAACATGGTGAAACCCCGTCTCTACTAAAAATACAAAAAATTAGCTGGGCATGGTGGCACGTGCCTGTAATCCCAGCTACTCAGGAGGCTGAGGCAGGAGAATTGCCTGAACCCAGGAGGCGGAGGTTGCGGTGAGCCGAGATCGCGCCATTGCACTCCAGCCTGGGTAACAAGAGCGAAACTCCGTCTCAAAAAAAAAATAAATAAATAAAAATAAAAATACAAAATTAGCCAGGTGTGGTGGCACATGCCTATAATCCCAGCTACTCGGGAGGCTGAGGCAGGAGAATCATTTGAACCCGTAAGGTGGAGGTTGTGGTGAGCTAAGATCGCACCATTGCACCCCAGCCAGGGCAACAAGAGCAAAACTCCGTTTCAAAAAAAAAAAAAAATCCACCTATCCAGCAATTCCAAAGAGATGCCACCAAAGGAGATGTCACCTTGTTGGGTACCTGGAGAACTGACAGAGGACATCTCTTCCATCTTGGGAGAGCTCACTAGCAATATTCCTATAGGTTCTGCCCAAGATACAAACATCTATTCCTATGAGCAAGTTACTACAACTCTTTTACAATCCCATCAACAATTGCCTCCCCAACTTCCAAACGTGTTCCCCAAAAATGTAGGGGATCTTGAGGTGAAAAGGAAAATGTAACGGAGCTGAGTTCCTGTCCATGTGGGAGGTGGGCTCATGGGAATACCTGGCTGTTCCTGGAAACCCCAGGAGGAAGAGCTGGGAGATAGTCAGCAGAGATCTCTCTTGAGAAGGCAGTGGTCTTTGCATTACATATAGGGTTGCAGGATGCCTCAATTTGAATTTCAGATAAACAAGGAATACTTTTTTTAGTATGTATCTATCACATGAAACATTTAGGACATATGCATTTCATAAAAATTATTAGTTTTAAAATTCAAATTTAACTGGGTATCCTGTATTTTCATCTGCTAAAGCAGGTAATTTACACATCTCACATTTTGTAAAGGAGTAAGAAGTACCTGCACAAAGGGAAAAGTAGAAAAGTGTTGAAGAAGAAAGAATCAGCTTATCTGCTCCTTCTGGAATTTCCACATGGTTCAGCCCACCTGCCTTCATCATGACCATCAGGGTGACCCAGAAGTCCTACAACGTGTCCACCTCTGGCCCCTGGGCCTTCAGCAGCTGCTCCTATACGAGTGGGCCCGTGCCTGCACCCACCATCACACCTGGCTAATTTTTTGTATTTTTTGTATTTTTAGTAGAGACAGGGTTTCACCATGTTGGTCAGGCTGGTCTCACACTCTTGACCTCAGGTGATCCATCCACCTTGGCTTCCCAAAGCTGGGATTACAGGCGTCAGCCACCCTGCCCAGCTGGTTACATTATTTTGAGTTTCTGATTAGTCTTTCCAAAGGAGGCAAATCAGAATTGTGTCTATCTCAGTGAGCAGAGGAATGACTTTGAATAGAATGGGAGGCAGGTTTGCCCTAAACAGTTTCCAGCTTGAGTTTTCCTTAGTGATTTTGGGGGTCCAAGATAGTTTCCTTTCACAACTGGAATTGTTAATAACGCTCATTTTGGCCAGGTGCAGTGACTCACACCTGTAATCCCAGCACTTTGAGAGGCCAACGTGGGCAGATCACAAGGTCAGGAGATCAAGACCAATCTGGCCAATATGGTGAAACCCCGTCCCTACTAAAAAATACAAAAATTTCCCGGGTGTGATGGTGCACATCGATAGTCCCAGCTACTAGGGAGGCTGAGGCAGGAAAATTGCTGGAACCCGGGAGGTGGAGGTTGCAGTGAGCTGAGATCACACCACTGCACTCCAGCATGGGTGACAGAGTGAGATTCTGTCTCCAAAAAACAAAAATAAAAGTAAAAACGCTCATGTTTTTTGGCCGGGCACAGTGGCTCATGCTTGCAATTTCAGCACTTCAGGAGGTAGCTGAGGTGGGCGGATCACCTGAGGTCGGGGGTTCTGGACCAGCCTGGTCAACATGGTGAAACCCCGTCTCTACTAAAAATGAAAAAAATTAGCCAGTCCTGGTGGTGTATGTCTGTAATCCCAGCTACTGGGGAGGCTGAAGCAATAGAATTGCTTGAATCTGGGAGGCGGAACTTGTAGTGAGCTGAGATCACACCACTGCACTCCAACCAGGCAACAAACTGAGACTCCATCTCAAAAAAAACAAAAGAAAAATGCTCTTTTTTTGTTTTTTTTCTGTTTGTTTTTGTTTTTGTAAATGAAAAAGTACCTGAGACAGGGCTCAATCAGTTTAGAAGTTTATTTTGCCAAAGTTAAGGATATGCCCAGAAGAAAAAAACACAGAATCACAGAAATCATGGTCTGTGCCCGTCTCCAAAGATGAATGTGAGGCCTGCAGTATCTAGAGGGGAAAAGTGAGCTGTAGGGAAATGAAGGAGGGCATGGTCATCCAGGTGTTACAAGAGAAAAGCTAGGGGAAGAGTCAATGATGTATTGTCTCATGCTGAGTAAATAGGCACTTGACGTAGGATAAGGTGGACATAGAGTAACTACCGGTGCAGGCACTTAACTTTTTATCTGCAGCTGTCTGCTAAGGAACAAAAGGAAAGGCAACTTATTGTATGACTCAGCTTTTAGCTTAATTTTTTCCTTTTGGCATAGTGAATTGGGGTCCCGCATTTTTATTTTCCTTTCACACCTCTGTTGAGCTGAGAACTAGTTGCTGAGAGCAGTGTGCACTGGAGAAACTAATACATTGGACTTTTGGGCTGGAGGTAGACAGAGCTTGAATTGGGGCATCACCACATTCCAGCTGTATGTCTTTGCCTTAATTACTTAACCTGAGTCTCACTGTCCTCATACATAAAATGGAGTCAGTTATTCCACTCTTTTGTTACAGGGCTGTCATCAGAATCAAATGTGATGAATGATATTGATGTGCTTTTTAAATAGCTTTATTTAACTAGCAATTACCTGACGCCGGCCAGATGCTTTACGTAAATTAATCATTGTAAGTAGGTATCATGAGTCCCATTTTACAATGGAAAAAATGTGCTTGTTTGTCAGTCATGGAGGCAGGCCTCAAATTCAAGTCGGTTTTGATTGCCAGGGCCACAGTGAGGACACTGCATACCTGTGCTCCCCTACAGCATGATGATGATGATGGTAACTTCTATGTTCCATTTGTGTTTACTTTATCCAATAGGAAGAAGAGGCTGGCACAACTTTACCAGCAAACTGTCTGCCTCTCCTTGCTGTGGCGCATCTATAGCTTAAATTATTTTTTTCACTGCAAGCATTATGCCTACCTGGCAGTTATGATGCAAATGAATACTGCACTGGAAACTCAAAATAATTTCCAGGTAGGGGATTTTTGTAGCTGCTCCTTTAAGTTTCTGAGTGTCATTTGGGAAGAAAAGCCTAGTGAAAGCCAATTGGGATTCAGAATTCTGAGGATATAACAGAAGGCTTTCTGACTGACTAGTTTTGACAAGGCCAGCAGTTCTCAAACACTTTGGTTTCTGGATCACTTCACACTGTTAAAAATTATTGAGGATCCCAAATGGCTTTTATTTATATGGGTTGAATTTATTGATATCATATAAGAAACAAAAACTGAGAAAATTCTAAAATATTGTTATTTTTAGGGTATTTTTTGAGACGGAGCCTCACTCTGTCACCCAAGGTGGAGAAGTGTTGTGATCTCCGCTCACTGCAACCTTGACTTCCCGGGTTCAAGCAATTCTCTTGCCTCAACCTCGCATGTAGCTGCGACTATAGGCACGTGCCACCACACGCAGCTAATTTTTGTATTTTTAGTAGAGACGAGGTTTTGCCATGTTGGTCAGGCTGGTCTTGAACTCCTGACCGCAAGTGATCTGCCCCACCTCAGCCTCCCAAAGTGCTGGGATTACAGGCATGAGCCACCGCACCTGGCCTAAAATATTATTTTAAAATAAAGATAACAAGCCTATTACATATTAACATAATTACCATTTTCATTTTTTAAAACTCTGTTCCCCAAACAAAAAAACCTAATGGGAAATACGGCATTGTATTATCTTAATGTCTGGCTTCTAGAAGACAACTAGATTCTCACATCTGCTTCTACTTTCACTGTTGCAATATCACATATGTTGCCTCTGGAAGACTCCACTACATATTCATGAGAGAATTAATATATATTCTTTTTAAAAAAGATAGAATTATAAATCATAACAAATATGGAAAGTACACATTAAAGATTTTATTTAACTCACTGAGTTGACTCAATCAAAATTAGTTAAGATTGGAACCAAGTGGTTCCAAGGAGAATCCAATTTATGAATGGATACAAAACTTGTCTAGTAACAGGGTAATAATCACTTGTATTCCACTGAGTATTTACATTTCTATGAAAAACAAATCATATCACTTACATTATTATTAGTTTTTTGCAACATAGTTGTAAGACAGTCCAAAGAAAAGTAGAGATAACTTTGATTAGTAAGTGAGGTAGGAACCCTTCTAAATTTGTGTTTTGGCCCATTTTAAGGTCTCACTATTTTTCCTGTCACAAATAATGTGTGGATGCTATGAAACTAGCTTTGTCCTCATATGTTCCCTGAAAAGGTGTCGGGGATTCTTAGGGATCCCAAGATGAATTGGGAGAACCACTAGTCTAGGTCAGAAATAGGAAAGCCTTTGATTGGATGAAGAAGGTATCAGGAGACATGATCAAGAAATTATTAAGCTAAATCCAACTCATCTAATGTGAATGGCCTTGCTCCATTATAAACGTACAGTCAGTCTGGGTTTCTTCCTCCTGGAGTCATTCATTGTCAAGAAGAAAGGGAAGGAGTCAGGTAGCACCATAAACGTTGGAGGAGCTTGAATTCCTAACTGGGAGTCTGTCTGCTGCATTAGTCCCTTTCAGTGGACTTAGGCTGGCTCTCCTAGGATACAGAAGTATTTACAAAGCCCGTCAAAATTGACCCCTGCTCACTTCCCATCCTCTGCTCCTAGCTCCATAGGCCATAAAGGAGTCACAGGCCCAGCCATATTGGTCTTCTTTTGGTTCCTCAAACACAGAAATTTAATCCCATCTGTCCCTGGCTGTTCCCTCTGCCCAGAGTGCTCATCCTCCGATCTTTACTGGGCATGACCATCCATTCACTTGCTAACTTGTCACTCTGTTTTAATAGGTATTATTACCATTCGACAATTTCTTGTTTGCTCCTGCATTAGCTTTTGGTCTGTCTCCCTTAGCAGCGTGTAAATCCCATGGGAGCAAGGTCCTCTTCAGTTGTCTTGTTCACATCCTAAGTTTCTAGAAGAATTGTGGTTGTTCAAGAAATTTATATTGACTGAAATACTTCTCCACACATGGAGCTATAGCCTAAGAACCGTGGTAGACTTGGGGTGGAAAAAATAAAAAGGCAGGCTGGAAAGTGAACCCAGACATTCATCATGAAGGTGGCTGGGATTGAAAACAGAGAAGCACTCCCCTCAGTGCGCAAAAGCAGATGAGGAACTCAGCATAGGATAAGGGAAAGACCGAGACAGAGCCAGAGAGTGGTTTTCAGAACTCTGCCTATCTGCATTGTGACCACTGGCAAGCGACATAAACATGGAGCTTTATATTTCCTCTGTAAAGTGAACCAGTTGGACTCTGTTCTCTTGCTCCATATCCAAGAGGTCCTAGGCTTTATTACAGTCTTGGATTTCTTATGTGCTCAACAATTCCCTCTCCCCCACCACCACTTCTGGCTATCCTTACCTTCTGGTAGCATTATCTGGAGCATATTTCAAACAAGGAAGAAAGGAATTCTGACTGTGGTTTTAAATATCCAGAGACCTACCTGTAACACAGAATTTGTAGGCTGCTTATTTTGCCCCATTTGAGGAATTCCAGCAAAAAACCTCTACTCTAAAATACTTCCCCTATCCCAACACTCCCACCACTAGAGATACTATATTTTTTCTGTTTGTATTTTTCAAATTAGGTTACATGTATTCTGTTGTTTTTATATAAATAATAAAACTGCTTCTTTAGAAGGAACTATTTTCTAACTATTCTCTAAGTGTGTACATTCTGTAGCAACTTTATCTTTTTAAAGAGCTGTTTAGAGTAACCCAGTTTCTTGTAAATCTCCAAATCAGATGTATTTGTTTGTTTGTTTTTGAGAGGGTCTCACTCAGTCACCCAGGCTGCAGTGCAGTGGCATGATCATGGCTCAGTGCAGCCTCAACCTCCCCTGCTCAACTGATCCTCCCAAACACCTCAGTTTCCTAAGTAGCTAGGATTACAGTTTTGTGTCACCATGCTGGCTTTTTTTTAAATCTTCTGTTGAGATGGGGTCTCACTCTATTGCCCAGACTGGGCTCAAACTCTTGGGCTCAAGTGACCTCCCATCTCAGCCTCTTGAGTAGATAGGACTACAAGCATGTGCCATCATGCTAGCCTGGCTAGCTTTTGCTGTTGTTGAAACAGGGTCTCGCTATTGTGCTCAGGCTTCTCTGGAACTCCTGAGCTCAAGCCTCAGCCTCCCAAAGTGCTGGGATTATAGACGTGAGCCACTGCACTTGACCTCCAAATTAGGTTTAAAACTAGTCCCTATTAAAAAAAAAAAAAGGCAAAGAAACCAAACCAACCTTTCTTTTTTGTTAAATCACTGAAGTTATATATGCTTGCTATAACAAACATCACAGAGACGCATAAAGGAAAATCTCTCCTCCCACCCCCAACAAATAGGTAACTACTGTTTATACTTTGGAGTGTATCCTTGCAGGCTTTTCGCTCTGCAATTATATATCTAATATGTAAGCTATGCTTTTATTTTTCACATAAATTAAAATTTTTATATTTCATTTAAGGACTCCATGGGTAAGGGGCCATCAAGTTTATCCTGAGTGACTCAGTAAACAGGTAGCAAAAACCCAGTTTGATTTCTGTGTGTAAGCCCATGGCTTTGGCCAAATGTCCAGCTCTATTCTCAAACTTAATAAACAAATGTTTACTGGGAGACAATGAGTGATGTTCCTGAGCTTTCTGCTTTGCATTCTGCCTCAGTCTTCCTCCACTCTGTTATTTCAGATCATTAAGGCTTACCTAGACTATTCGCTATACCACCAGCTGGCTGGCTACCAGGGTATGTGGTTCAAATATGAAATCATGGCCCTGCAGCAAATCTTCAACCTCCCCCTGAAAGGCGAGGGCATTGAAATTATGGTATACGTCGCTGATACACTGGTCTTCAACAAGCTCATAATGGGACACCTGGACTTGGCCACTGAGTTAGGTAAGGGCTGACTGGGCAAGACAGGACATGAGGATACAAGGAATGTCCCACAATATACTGGAATTGTTTTCTTCCCAGGCACCCGGGCCCACCAGATGTGGGCACTGCTCCAGAATCCCAACCGACATTATCTGTCCCTCTACAGACTTAGCCAATGTCTCCTTTTGAAAAGCAGGTATTTATCTTAAAGTATTTTCCAAAATTAGGGGGAGGAGGCCATATTATTGAGTGTTCTGGGTTCAACTTTAGCCTGACCATAGGGTGGGGAAAGGAGTAGAGTTTGCAGTAAGAAAATGTAACTGATAATAGTTGTCCTTTTTTTTCTTTTTTTTAGACAGAGTCTTGCTCTGTTGCCCAGGCTAGAGTGCAGTGGTTTGATCTCGGCTCACTGCAACCTCTGCCTTCAGGTTTAAGCAATTCTCCCGCCTCAACCTCCCGAGTAGCTGGGATTACAGGCACATGCCACCACCCTCAGCTAATTTTTGTATTTTTTAGTAGAGATGGGGTTTCACCCTGTTGGCCACGCTGGTCTTGAACTCCTGATCTCAAGTGACCTACCCACCTCAGCCTCCCAAAGTGCTGGGATTACAGGCATGAGCCACCGTGCCAGGCCTTGGTTTTGTTTTGTTTTATTTTGTTTCGTTTAACAGAATTATTTCCCATGCATCATCTCTAATCTGGTTGCTGTGGCCAGTGGAGGGGAACTCAGACAGTCATCCCAGCTGTGGAAATCAGGCCTCCACTTCTGTCAAGTGGAGACAAAGGGAAAAGTCTTCTAGGGAGGCAAATGGTCAGAGAATAGCAACCAGGTCTAGAAGCTAAGGCCAATTTGCTCTGACTCTGGTCACCCTGCTATAGAGAACCCATGAAAGAACAATTTGAAACAAGAGCCAATTTGAGATTTAGGTTTTGGTACTGGGTAGGGATGCATTTGACGTCTGTTTAAGAGGTGTATTTGGTTCTGAATTACTGAGAAGGACCAGGACTAGACCAGGGAGGGACCTTACTGAACCTCATCCTATCCACTGCTTTTTGTTCAATAGCTTTGGGTGTACAAGTGGTTTTCAGTTACAAAGATGAATTTTATAGTAGTGAATTATAAGAGTTTAGTGCACCTGTCACCCCAGCAGTGTACATGTACCCAACATGTAGTCTTTCATCTCTCACTTCCCTCCTTCCCTCCACGCTGAGTCCCCAAAGTCCATTATGTCCACTGCTTTTTTTTTTTTTTTTTTTTTTTTTGTTTGAGACAGTTTCACTCTTTCACCCAGGCTGGAGTGCAGTGGTGTGATCTTGGCTCACTGCAACCTCTGCCTTTCAGTTTTAAGAGATTCTCCTGCCTCAGCCTCCCAGGTAGTGGGATTACAGGCTCCTGACATCTCGCCTAATTTTTGTATTTTAGTAGAGACAGGGTTTCACCACGTTGGCCAGGCTGGTCTCGAACTCCTGACCTCATGATCTGCCCGCCTAGGCCTCCCAAGTGCTGGGATTACAATATCTACCGCTTTTTAGTGGCCATTACCTTTTCTTTTCCACAGATACAAGCAATTGATCCAGGTGTTGGGGTGTCTGTGGGATCTTTCTGTAACACAGGAACACATCTTGAGCAAGGCATTTTTCTACTTTGTCTGCTTGGACACCATGCTTTATTCCGGTAAGTGTGGGTTTGGAATGTAAAAGAACTTGGGGGTGTGGGACCTGTGCTGGTATGGTGAGGCAGCTGTCATGTCAGGTTGGCGCTTTGGCACCAATAGGTCTGGGTGGACTTACAAAGCAGGGATGGAGAGAGGCTAGTGGTGTGAACTGAAGCACTGTCTAGCAAGTGCCAAGACTGTAAAGGCACTTCAAGAAGGAGAATTAAGTCTGAAGGAACCTGATTGGTATGTGTTGCCAGTTAAACTGTCAGATCAACTTGCACCTAAGTGATAGTGACTATCTTACTATGTGCCTCTTACTAGGGGCTTTTAACTTTTAGCAGGATGTACTTAGAGACTTCATGCTTTAGAATGAAGGACTAGTTTGCTTCAGGTGAGAGTTCAGGTTGGCAGCTGTTGGTGATTTGGAAAACAAGTTATTTCCTGATAACTTTCAAGTGACATCAAGTAGGTCACTTCAAGTGTACATACTAAACCACAGGAACCAACTTGGGAATTGTTTTCCCCACACAGGATCTTGAAGGGAGATGCAGACACTGCCGCCAGCAAGGGAAGCATGTGTGGGGAGACATAGAAGTCCTAGGCCAGGCGTCCCCAAACCACAGCCCGCGGGCTGCATACGACCCCCTGAGGCCATTTATCCGGCCCCCCGCCACACTTCAGGGAGGGACACCTCTTTCATTGGTGGTCAGTGAGAGGAGCACAGTATGTGGTGGCCCTCCAACGGTCTGAGGGACAGTGAACTGGCCCCCTGTGTAAAAAGTTTGGGGATGCCTGTCCTAGGCTGTTCTAAGGCTGGGAAGGATTAGTTAAACCCCACACCTGCCTGGTCAGTACTGTGGAACTGTATTATATATCCATAACACTCCTCAATAGCTGGGACTCAGCAAACACAGGCCAGTCCAGTCGTCAGGTTGTTGCAATCCACGGGACCCTCTGGATTCATACAATGATCAGAGGCTACTCTCCCTGCAGTGGGAATATTCTACTGAGAGCAACTAGGCTAGAAAGATGACCACCTACCAGCAACTCTCACCCTTTTCTCTCTTTTAGGTTTTGTTTATAGAACATTTGAAGAATGTTTGGAATTTATATACCAATATGAAGACAACAGAATCCTCAAGTTCCAGAGTGGACTCCTTCTGGGACTTTATTCGTCTGTAGCTCTCTGGTAACAATGTATTGCATATCACTAAGTTCCCAAGGTGAAGACGTTGAGTTCCAAGGAAGAGTTCTTTAAAAATATTTTAGAAAGTATTCATAATTTATACCTGAGAGAGCTTAAAGGTGTCAGAGGATATTTACACTGAAAGATGTGTTAACTAGTTCATCCCCCTTGGCCAAGGACAGAAAAGTGAGATTGTCTCAATTGCATTCCATGCAATAAATATTTATCGCAAACATACCATGTTGTGCTGATACAGGGATAAATAAGAAAAGATTGCTTTCTTTGGAGGAGTGCTGGGGTTTGAGGAAGACTAATAAATAGCACCACTTGCCCACCCTAGCACCCACCCATATCTAATCATATAGATTGATACAGCCAGTGTTGGAGGACATGGCTTATATCTGCACATAAGTGGGCTTCCTAATGTTGAGCCCTAGAATTGGACTCAACCTGCTCAGTAGCAGACAGTTCTGGAAAACTGTAGATCTACTCACATGGAGGCAGGGCTCTTGTAGCACAGAGATCAGTATCACACTCCCAGTTGGCTTCACTAGCTCTCAAGATGCAGAGAGATACAGACAGAGTTATACTTGCCCGATTCCTCTCCCAATTCACCAGCAAGATCTCTCCTTATCATTGAAGGGGCAAGTGAAGCAAGGAAAGAGTTCTCGTGCTTTGCACCAAATAGAAACCCCTCACATGGAAGGAAACTTCAGGAGTAAGGAAGAAGCATTTTCCATGTACCCCATTAACTCATTAAGTCTGAGGCTTAATCCCGTTAACCTATTATGTTTTGTTTGTTCGTTTGTTTGTTTTTTGAGACAGAGTTTTGCTCTTGTTACCCAGGCTGGAGTGCAATGGCGCGATCTCGGCTCACCACAGCCTCCGCCTCCTGGGTTCAGGCAATTCTCCTGCCTCAACCTCCTGAGTAGCTGGGATTACAGGCATGCACCACCATGCTCAGCTAATTTTTTGTATTTTTAGTAAAGACGGGGTTTCACCATGTTGACCAGGATGGTCTCGATCTCTTGACCTCGTGATCCACCTGCCTCGGCCTCCCAGAGTGCTGGGATTACAGGCTTGAGCCACCGCGCCCGACCTATCTATTATGGTTTTTTTTTTTTTTTTTGAGATGGAGTCTTGCTTTGTCTCCAGGCTGGAGTACAGTGGCGCAATCTCGGCTCACTGCAACCTCCACCTCCTGGGTTCAAGCGATTCTTCCGCCTCAGCCTCCTGAGTAGCTGGGACCACAGGCGTGTGCCACCACGCCCGGCTAATTTTTTGTATTTTTAGTAGAGATGGGGTTTTACCGCGTTGGCCAGGATGGTCTCAATTTCTGGACCTCGTGATACACCCGCCTCAGCCTCCCAAAGTAACCTATTACATTTTAAACTCAGTTAAGCCTATTTCGATGACCGCTAAGGTTCTAAAATGGGTCAGAACAGAACATTCATTACATTACTTCCAAGTCTATCCCCAAGATTGAAAATCACCCTCTATTATTTCCTATCTTAATTAAATTATATGCAACCATATGGTCTATCAGAGGTTTGTGATGAAACTAAGTGACAATATGAAGACATTCCTATATAAAATGCTACAAATTAGAGCAACCCCAAATCTGAATAGAAATCCACCCCCTCCTTCTTTCTGAGACAGTTTTGCTGTGTCACCCAGGTTGGAGTGCCACAGTGTGATCATGGATCACTGCAGCCTCGCCTTCCTAGGCTCAAGTGATCCTCCCAAACACCTCAGCTTCCCGAGTAGCTGCAACTGCAGGTGCATACCACCACAGCTGGCTAATTTTAATTTTTTGTAGAGATGGGATTTTGTCATGTTCTCCAGGCTGGTCTCTAACTCCTGGACTCAGGCAATCCTACCTCAGCCTCCCCAAATGCTAGGATTAGAGGCATGAGCCACTCACCTGGCCAGAAATCCCCTTATTATAAAATTAATGAGGAGAAATTAAAATCCAAAAATTAATTACTCTTGCCAATTAAAGTTCAAAATCAAATAACTTACCAATGTGAGCTAAAGGTCAAGGAATCTAAAGTTCAAAAATCATCCAAATTTCTTTTTCTTTACTATCTCAGCTGGAGAGTTCTTTTAACATCTGTGTTCTAGGCCAATGTTGCTGACTTTAGTGAGCTAACAATCACCTGGAGAGCTTGTTAATGCGGAGATGCCTCACCCTCAGAGCCTGTCTGATTCAGTATGCCTGGACTGAAGCAGAGAACCTGCATTAATGAGAACGCAGGTGATACTGATGATGCCAGTCTGTGAACCACATTTTGAGCAGTACTGTCCTAAATCATCTCTCTTCGGTATTGGAGCACTATCTTCAAGTCCCAGAATCTACAGTTCCAAGTTTCTGATCTCCCTTACTTTTTAATATAAAAAGTCAAAGAGTTCAGTGGTGGCTAATATTACCTGGGTGTTTCCAAGGATTCTATTCATCTCAAGCCATCAAAAAAAAAAAAAATCTATCATTTCCTTGCTCTGCATCACATAATTAATTTCCTGCTTTGTTAGGGAGAGTGAAGCAGGGGTAGGCAGGAGGCACACTTCCAGAGACCCAGGTACAGGAAGCTGCACATCCAGAAAGCCATTTCAGAAAGCCAGCCTATTCCACAGGTGATACTGACTTTTCTTATTCCTTTGTGGTAATGCAGGTATGCCAGACGTCAAGAATGGGACAACTTTTACATATTTTCCAGTACAGCTAAAAATCTGTTGCCAAGAAGAACCATAACACTTACTTACTATGAAGGAATGTCTAGGTACATGGAGGGGCAAGTTCTTCATCTTCAAAAGCAAATCAAAGAACAGTCAGAGAATGCCCATGCTAATGGAAAGGAGCTACTCAAGGTGAGGCCTACTCTCCAGTTTCCAGTATAAAATACGCCTTAAATGGATCTCTATCTACTTCGTGTGCTAATTATTTTCTCATTATAGAATTAGACATGTTTATCACAGATGTTTTTGAAGGCACTTCCCCAACGTAAGAAAGAAAATATAAATTGTCCACTACATTACTACTTAGAGATAAGCACTTTTTATACATTGAGATCCCACTTTTCAAGTATTTGTGTGTGTGCATGCACATTTCTATATTTTGTAATTTGCTATTAAGCATATTATGAATAATTTTCTGTCATTAAATTGTTTTTCAGATCACAATTTAAAAGGAAGCATCATAGTTTATCTTATAGATATACGATTGCGTGGTCTAATTATTCTTGGATAAAACTTTTCTGAATGTTCTTATTGCCATTGCTATGATAAAGCATCCTGGTAGATAAATCATTCCACATGACAATTTTAAAAATTCAACTATGAGCCGGGCACGGTGGCTCACGCCTGTAATCCCAGCACTTTGGAAGGCCGAGGCGGGTGGATCATGAGGTCAAGATATCAAGACCATCCTGGTCAACATGGTGAAACCCCATCTCTACTAAAAATACAAAAAATTAGCTGGGCATGGTGGTGGGTGCCTGTAATTCCGGCTACTCAGGAGGCTGAGGCAGGAGAATTGCCTGAACCCAGGAGGCGGAGGTTGCGGTGAGCCGAGATCACGCCACTGCACTCCAGCCTGGGTAACAACAGCGAAACTCCGTCTCAAAAAAAAAAAAAAAAAAAAACTTTAAAAATAAAATACATATATATATATATATATATATATATATAATTTCAACTATGTATTAAGCATATTAATACAAGAGTGCTGGGGCACAAGAGTGAGCAAATTAAACACCTCCAACAGTTTACAACTTGGCATGGGCAAGCACCCTAAGAGAATAAAGGGCTAAACCTCTGGTGTTGGGTTGACGCATTTGTCTTGTTCTTGTAAACACTGAGCACAGGTCTATTAGCTTTCTATTGCTCTGTCACTCATTACCACAAGTTAACAACTTAAAACAACACCCACTTCTTGACAGAGTCTTGCTTTGTCACCCAGGCTGGAGTGCAGTGGTACAATCTCAGCCTACTGCAACCTCCACCTCCCAGGCTCAAGCAATTCTCATGTCTCAGCCTCCCAAGTAGCTGGGATTACAGGCACCCGCCACCATGCCTAGCTAATTTTTTGGATTTTTAGTAGAGACGAGGTTTCACCATGTTGACCAGGATGGTCTCGATCTCTTGACCTCATGATCTACCCGCCCCAGCCTCCCAAAGTGCTGGGATTACAGGTGTGAGCCACCATCCCCGGCCTCCATAGAGTTTTTAACTCCCAGACCTGTCCACTCTGAGTTTGTAGCAATTCATCAATTACAGTTCAGGTTTTCCTAGCCTGGCACTAATTCCCACAGTGGTTTCCACTTGTGAATCTCTGTCTGTTTGTCTCTACAGTCCTTGGATCAGCAGTTTGCCCCGTGTTCTCACTTCTCTTATGGATCCAAGAATATTTGTTGATCTTTCAGTCCATTCAGCTTTTTACTTGATTCTAGGACTAAGTGGTTACTTCCAAGCTCCTTACATGCAGAAGTGGCCAATTTTTTTTCCTAATTTTTCAACAATTAACTTGTAGTGCTTTAATAATCATAATCATCATTATTTTTTTCTTTGAGATGAAGTCTCGCTCTGTCACCCAGGCTGGAGTGCAGTGGCACAATCTTGGCTAACTGCAACCTCTGCCTCCCAGGTTCAAGTGATTCTCCTGTCTCAGCCTCCCAAGTAGCTGGGACTGCAGGTGCGCACCACCACAACCAGCTAATTTTTGTATTTTTAGTAGAGACGGGGTTTTGCCATGTTGGTCAGGCTTGTCTCAAACTCCTGACCTCAGGTGATCCACCTGCCTCGGCCTCCCAAAGTGCTGAGATTACAGGTATGAGCCACCACGCCCAGCCATCAAAACAATTTTTTTTTTTAAAGTTATTGCAGAGAAGCAATGATGGGATCTCTCATGTCAATTCCTGATCTCAGTGGACCATGGGAACTACTCCACCTGACATTTATTATCTCCAATACCTACTATGTATGTCTCTATAATGTATTTTCTCACTTGATTGCTTAAATCCTTGAAATGTTCCCAAATCATCTGTGAAGGAAATAATTTACAGTCAAGGACCCTGTTTGATTCTAATATACTGTTGTGGGTTTTTTTCTTTAGAACTTGAAGACTCTGGTGAGTCAAAACACCACTGGCCCTGTCTTTTACCCAAGGCTCTACCACCTGATGGCTTACGTCTGTATATTAATGGGAGACAGGCAGAACTGTCGCCTCTTTCTGAACACAGCCTTGCAGCTCTCTGAAACACAGGGGAATGTGCTGGAGAAATGCTGGCTGCAAATAAGCAAAGTATGTATCATCAGCTAGCAAGCTGGGATGGGGGATGCTCACCCATATAAAGAAGCCTCGGAAGCCCATTGCCTGGTTAGGTTTCACCAGGCACAGAAGGTCATTGTCTTAGTCTATCCAGGCTGCTGTAACAAAATATCTTAGACTGGGTCATTGATAAACAATAGAAAATTACTGCACAGTTTTGGAAGCTGGAAGTCCAAGATCAAGGCACTGGAGATTCAGTGTCTGGTGAGTGTCCATTCCTCACAGATGGTGCCTTTTGCTGTGTCCTTGCATGTCAAAAGGATGGAAAAGGAAAATATGCTCCCTCCAGACTTTTTATAAGGACGCTAATTCTATCTGTGAGGTCAGAGCCCTCATGACCTAATTATCTCCCAAAGACCCACCTCTTAATACTATCACCTTGGGGGTTAATTTGCAACACAAGGATTTCAAGGGGTGCCAACATTCAGACCATAGCAATCACCATAGGCTTTTCTTGATTCTTACCAGAACAGGTGATGTGCCTAGAGCTCAGGGTTGTGAGCTTCTTCCTGTTTAAGTTCTCATGGACTCTCTTCCTCATCCAAATCCCTCTGAGCATGACCTCTCTCTGCCCTTCTCTGTGGCCACTTTCCACTTTGTGTTACATCTGTCTACATGTCTTTCCTCTCCTTGAGAATGTGAACTCTTTGAAAGCAAAAACCACACTTAGTGCCTTGCACGGAGCCTTATACTCAGCTTTGCTGAATACGTGAATGAATGTATAAGTATGTGTGTTTATTTTAAGAGGGATGTGTCAGTATCCTAGTTTGGATAGCAAGATTCATTTTTGTCTATGGGTTCACATGGTTTTGAAAGCTCAAGGACAGTTTGGCTTATTTGGTATTGGACTAATCCTGATTACAAAAGTCAAGGAGTGCTAATGATTTCTTCTGTTTCCCTCCTCTCAGGAATGCTGGTACTCAGCTTCTGAGTTAAAAGAAGACCAATGGCTTCAGACGATCTTGAGTCTCCCGTCATGGGAAAAAATTGTAACAGGCAGGGTAAACATTCAGGATATTCAAAAAAACAAATTTCTGATGAGAGCTGATATCGTGGACAATCATTTCTAACATGTCAAAGACAAAAGATTTTAGTAAGCACTATGTCCTTGTGATGATCTATTATCGACCTTTCTCTGTGGCTGGCCCCTCCAGGTTCCTACATAAGCTCTTCTGTTCCAGGCACAGACAAGACGTGTTGATTTCTTCTCTTTCTGGTCAAAAAGGGTCAGGAGTGTCACGCTTAACTTCCTCCTAACATTACAAAAATTGACCTTACCATTAATGTTGTTTTAGCTTGATCCATCTATTTCAGCCCACGCAAAGTTGTATCATATGAGAAGTTATTAATCTCAAGATGGTATAACATCATGTGTTGCAACAGACATGTTTCTAGTTAGTATATTAACTGAAAATATGTATTTTAAAATATCCAGTTGTTAAGTCTTTTGGAGGTAGCACAGTATTACAAATAGCAAACATTTGTCATGGTTTATAAAGAAAGAATAAGAAAAGATACGTTTGTAGGACCTGGCTGCAGCTTCCAAAGCCAGGGTGATGTCTTAGCTCCTCTCACCACGTGCATCAAATATCAAATCAATTATTAATATCAGATAAATATGTTTAATACAAAATAAAGATCATTTTAAAAAGTAACATTAATTTTTATGTGGGTATCTTTTATATATTTGGAGTTTGCATTTTTTAAATATTTAAGAAATAACATTCATCTTCATCATTTCCCAGATGCAAAAGCAAAGCTGTGCATTTTTTCTCCTGGTAACATAACTGAGTTCCACAAAGGAGGTTGGACAGACTCAGATGGTACCACAAGCTTAACCACAGAGCCCTGCTGGCCTGGCATGGAGGGAAGAGCTCCAAGCTAAGAAATCAGAACATTAGGTTCGAACATAAGCACTACCATAAATACACTTGATTCCTGCCTGATACATATTCCCTGCCTGATAAACATAACCTCCCTATGCATTTTGGTGAGTATTGAATAAAATAGTGGAGGTTAAAAAGTGTTGAAAATTACAGTGTGCCATACAAATAAAAAGAAACTAATATTAGACAGAGGACTGATTTTTTTTTTCTTTTTTTTTTTGAGACGGAGTTTCGCTCTTGTTACCCAGGCTGGAGTGCAATGGCGCGATCTCGGCTCACCGCAACCTCCGCCTCCTGGGTTCAGGCAATTCTCCTGCCTCAGCCTCCGGAGTAGCTGGGATTACAGGCACGCGCCACCATGCCCAGCTAATTTTTTGCACCTTTAGTAGAGACGGGGTTTCACCATGTTGACCAGGATGGTCTCGATCTCTTGACCTCGTGATCCACCCGCCTCGGCCTCCCAAAGTGCGACAGAGGACTGATTTTAAAATAAACACATCAAATACTAAACTTTAAGTGTTGTCCCCTCCAAAGCTGTCATCCTGGAAACTGCATGCTTTCCCCACGCTGCAACATAGAAATCCCTTGCTTTCTAATTGCCTTATTTTGTACTTTATTCATTCTCTCACTTATTCATTCTACTAACATTTTCCAACTTATTACCGTGTACCAATCCCTGATGAAGTACTGGAGATTAAGATATAAAAACATGAGGGACACAATTCTTGACCTCTGCAAGCTCATTTGTCCAACAGAAGAAACAGATGCACACATAAACCTCACTGAGCCCATTCTACTGTACTATAATAGAGCTGTGTTCAAATCCTGCATGGTGGAAGGAGTAACACATACAAAACCTGGACATCTCGAAGACTCAGCTGAACTGCCTCTGAGTTCAGATTTATTTCAATTACATTGTCATAATAAGCTAATGCCTTAATCATAACAATTCCTTACATTCATACAAGTCTTTATAGATATAAAGAGTTCTGGGACCTGCTCTTATCTTCTCCCTGCAAACCCTGAATGGTGGGAATGGTAGATGCTCTGGCTTGCCTGACATCATCTGGCCAGTTAAGTGGCTGAACTTGAGCCTAAATCCAGAAATTGTGTGCTCTTGTCCAAGCATATTCAAATCCACTTTTCTGGCTCTCTGTCTTGGCTTCTGCAAACCATCAGGAAACAGTGTTTTCTGTCTTAAAAATCACTTTGACCATCTAAATATTCAAGTTCCCTTTAGCTTCCACAAAAATGAACCTAGTTCTACTCTTTGGAATCATACAGAATAAACTTAAACTTGTTCCTCGCTGACCCCTTCAAAGCCTTGAACATACCCCTTGTGGTTCTCCTGAGCCTTCTCCAAGCTAAATACTTCTCCTACCATCTCCTTGTTTTCGGTTCTCTCAGTATCCTGGTCACTTGTCTCTGAATATATTCACATTTATCTCTATTTCACTTACATATGAGCAATAGAATGGCCAATTTGGAATATGAGAGGACTCTTACTTCTTTTGTTCTACCTGAAAGAATCCTGTAGAACCACTTATATGCCTTCATTTTTTTTTTTTTTTTTTTTTGGAGACAGAGTCTCGTTGACAGTGCAGTGGTGAGATCTCAGCTCACAGCAACCTCCACCTCCCAGGTTCAATTGATTCTCCTGCCTCAGCCTGCCAAGTAACTGGGACTACATGTGTGCTAATTTTTGTATTTTTAGTAGAGACGGTGTTTCACCATGTTGGTCAGGCTAGTCTTGAACTCCTGACCTTACGATCACCCACCTCGGCCTCCCAAAGTGCTGGGACTATAAGTGTGAGCCATCACACCCGACCACACCTTCACTTTTTTGGCAGCCATTTTTGGAGTCATTGTGGACATATTCCAATTATCTGGAAGATAATCCCAAGTTGGCTACTTAACTATCTGTGCCTTAGTTTCCTCGTCTGTAAGTGGAAATAATATTAGCACATATTTGCATGGAGTTTTGTGAGGTTTTTTTTTTTTTTTTTTTTTTTTTAGAAGTACAATGAAAAACACTGCCTGGAACTGGGTGCAGTGTCTCATGACTGTAATTTCAGCACTTTGGGAGGTTGAGGCTGGTGGATTGCTTGAGCTCAGGAGTTCAAGACCAGCCTGGGCAACATGATGAAACCCTGACTCTACCAACAAAATACAAAAAGTTAACTGGTTGTGGTGGCACATGCTTATTATAGTCCCAGCTACTCAGGAGGCTGAGGTGGGAGGATTGCTTGAACCTGGGAGATGGAGGTTGCAGTGAGCAGAGATTATGCTATTGCACTGCAGGCTGGGCATAGAGCGAGAATGTCTCATTTTCAAAAAAATTTTTAAAAACTCACTGCCTGGTATACAGAAGGAGATCAATAAGCATTAGCCTTTAATACTGTCACATGTATTCTAACAAGTTCTCCCCATCCTGTACTTTTTTTTTTTTTTTTTTTTTTTACGTTAAAGAAAACAGATGGTGCAGACAGGAAACAAGCCCACTGTGGTCTGATATTAGCTAGTGAGAGAGAAGTAAACTAAAACATGCCTAAATGCTGATGGGCAAAGGAAGGTAGGCCTTTGGGCACTTTGTCTGGATGGTGCCTTTATCTCTAGCATATGCCTTCCTTATTGGGTTATACTTGTTCCTTCTCTTGAAATATACTGCTCCCTGTGTTAAGCCTTCCTGATGTTAACTGCAGGCAGTGATCACGATAGAGTCAAGTCATCACCTTGGAGTTTAGCATCCTCTGGTTGCCGCTCTGCGTTGCTTGACCACAGACTCAGGGGACAGTACACTGGGGTTCTGCCCCTACCACCCTAGTCTGGTTCATACTCAGCTGGACGACAGCGACAGCGTGAGTCCCACCCCTGTACCCTTTGCGAACTGCAGGCAAGTATTCACATTTCCTGTAACTCAACACCACCAAGCTTCCCTGTGATTTTGATTCTATGGGTAGATAGTGCTAATGAGTGTTAGGATTTCTGAAACTAATCATTTATCTCCCAAATTACTAAAAAAACTAAAGCATACCACACACCTGTGAAAATGGCCAAAATCTAAAATACCAAATACTGGCAAGGGTGTGGAGTGACAGGAGCTCTCACTCATGGCTGCAGGGAATGTGAAGTGGTGCAGCCACTTTGGAGACAGTTTTACAGTTTTTCAGCAAACCAGGCATACTCTTACCATACAATTAGGCAGTTGTGCTTTTTGGCATGTACCCAAATGAACTGAAAACTGATATCCACACAAAACTCTGCACACAGACGTTTATAGCAACTTTATAATTACCGAAACTTGGAAACCACCAAGACGTCCCTCAGTAAGTGAATGGATAAACTGTGGTCAGTCCAGACAATGGAATGTTATTCAGCACTAAAAAGAAATCAGCTATCAAGCCATGAAAAGACAGAGAAGAACCTTAAATGCACATCACTGAGTGAAAGGAGCCAGTCTGAAAAGGCTACATGCTATATGGTTCCAACGATATGACATTCCAGAAAAGGCAAAAACTATGGAGACAGTGGTTGCCAGAGGGGTGGGAGGAGGAGAGATGAACAGGAGGAACACAGGGGATTTTTAGGGCAGTGAAACGATTTCGAAAAGGGATAAACATCATTACACATCTGTTCAAACCCGTAGAATGTATAACAGCAGAGTGACTCATTTATTTATTTATTTATTTTTGAGACAGAGTCTTGCTCTGTCGCCAGGCTGTAGTGCAGTGGCGCAATCTCGACTCACCGCAACCTTCACCTCCTGGGTTCATGTGATTCTCCCACCTTAGCCTCCTGAGTAGCTGGGATTACAGGCGCACACCACCACATCCGGCTAATTTTTTGTATTTTTAGTGGAGACGGGGTTTCACTATGTTGGCCAGATTGGCCTCGAACCCCTGCCCTCAAGATCCGCCCGCCTCGGCCTCCCAAAGTGCTGGAAGTAGAGTGACTCTTAACATAACATACGGACTTTGGGTCAAAATGCCGTGTCAGTGTGGGTTCATCAATTGTATCAAACGTATCACTCTTGTAGGAAATGCTGTTGGCCAGTGGGATTGCGAGTATGTGGGATCAGGCAGTGTATGGAAATTCTCTACTTTTCACTTAATTTTGCTATGAGTCTAAAACTGCTCCATAAATAAAGTTTACTAATTAAAAAAATACCTAAGGCATATGTTGACCAGCTCCCTTTCCCTCCACAGAGCTAGGCTGCCTCATTCTCCAGTGCTTCCCCTGCCCTGGAAGTGCAGTGATGAGAATTGGCTTTAAAAAGAAAAAAGAGGAAAGGGGAGGGGAGAAGAAATGGGGAGAAGGGAGGAGGGAAGCGAGGAGAGAGGGAGACGGGAGGAGGGGGGAGGGATGGGAAGGAAGAGGGGAGGAAAAAAGGGACGGGAGGAGAGGGGAGGGATGGGGAGAGAAGAAAAAAAGGTTGGGGGGCGGGGAGAAGAGAAGAGAGAAAGGAAAAAAGCAAGAGAAGACCAGACTGCAATTTGAAGGTTGCAAGTTCCCTGTGCCTGAATCCAGAGGAGCATGCGTCAGGTTTTACAGGAAACCTGTACTTGGTTCCGGTTCTGACTATCCCACAAACAGTTACGTGATCTTGGGCAAGTCCCTTTTTCATCAGTTTCCTATCTCTAAACTAAGAGAGTTGTGATAAAATCCCTTCCCTCTCCCGTCTGGCTGTGATTCAGCCTCGTA